AATGTAGATATGATAGATATCGAGACGCTCAGGAATCTGTACACCAGTAGATTGGCGGTTGAGAAGCGGGATCAAAGAGCACAAGCTCAACCCCTGCAAGCACAACTAGGGAAGTACAACTAGGTAAGTATAACTAGGTAAGTACAAGTTGCCTGCTTCACATGGGCCTGTAGACTTTACACTGCCCTAGACTGGGCTAATATACTGGAAGGAAGCTTCGCTAGGGCTAGGAGGCCGAGCGTCTGCCTATCGTTGTATGTAGGCTCAAGTGCGTTATTATATTTGTTGTATTAAATGCATTATGATATTAAGTAATGAGATTTGCGATGTGAGCAACATCCACCACACTCATGACTCAACTCTATTAAGTTTTGTTTTAATTAAAAACGTTGAGTTATTTACTATCACATAACTTCATGATACATTTGATTTCATTTTTCATTAACTATACGAATGTTTACACATGAATCATACACTAACCAGGTTGCTTGTTTACCGCCACATGATGTACACACTCACCCTGCTGTACCAACACCTGTACACACTCACCCTGCTGTACCAACACCTGTACACACTCACCCTGCTATACCAACACCTGTACACACTCACCCTGCTGTACCAACACCTGTACACACTCACCCTGCTGTACCAACACCTGTACACACTCACCCTGCTGTAACAACACCTGCACACACTCACCCTGCTGTACCAACACCTGTACACACTCACCCTGCTGTACCAACACCTGCACACACTCACCCTGCTGTACCAACACCTGTACACACTCACCCTGCTGTACCAACACCTGTACACACTCACCCTGCTGTAACAACACCTGCACACACTCACCCTGCTGTACCAACACCTGTACACACTCACCCTGCTGTACCAACACTTGTACACACTCACCCTGCTGTAACAACACCTGCACACACTCACCCTGCTGTACCAACACCTGCACACACTCACCCTGCTGTACCAACACCTGTACACACTCACCCTGCTGTAACAACACCTGCACACACTCACCCTGCTGTACCAACACCTGTACACACTCACCCTGCTGTAACAACACCTGCACACACTCACCCTGCTGTACCAACACCTGTACACACTCACCCTGCTGTACCAACACCTGTACACACTCACCCTGCTGTACCAACACTTGTACACACTCACCCTGCTGTAACAACACCTGTACACACTCAACCTGCTGTACCAACACTTGTACACACTTACCCTGCTGTACCAACACTTGTACACACTCACCCTGCTGTACCAACACTTGTGCACACTCACCCTGCTGTACCAACACTTGTACACACTCACCCTGCTGTAACAACACCTGCACACACTCACCCTGCTGTACCAACACCTGCACACACTCACCGTGCTGTACCAACACCTGTACACACTCACCCTGCTGTAACAACACCTGCACACACTCACCCTGCTGTACCAACACCTGTACACACTCACCCTGCTGTAACAACACCTGCACACACTCACCCTGCTGTACCAACACCTGTACACACTCACCCTGCTGTACCAACACCTGTACACACTCACCCTGCTGTACCAACACTTGTACACACTCACCCTGCTGTAACAACACCTGTACACACTCACCCTGCTGTACCAACACTTGTACACACTTACCCTGCTGTACACACTCACCCTGCTGTACCAACACTTGTACACACTCACCCTGCTGTACCAACACTTGTGCACACTCACCCTGCTGTACCAACACTTGTGCACACTCACCCTGCTGTACCAACACCTGTACACACTCACCCTGCTGTAACAACACCTGCACACACTCACCCTGCTGTACCAACACCTGTACACACTCACCCTGCTGTACCAACACTTGTACACACTTACCCTGCTGTACACACTCACCCTGCTGTACCAACACTTGTGCACACTTACCCTGCTGTACCAAGACCTGTACACACTCACTCTGCTATAACAACACCTGCACACACTCATCCTGCTGTACCAACACCTGTACACACTCACCCTGCTGTACCAACACCTGTACACACTCACCCTGCTGTACCAACACTTGTACACACTCACCCTGCTGTACCAACACTTGTACACACTCACCCTGCTGTACACACTCACCCTGCTGTACCAACACTTGTACACACTCACCCTGCTGTACCAAGACCTGTACACACTCACTCTGCTATAACAACACCTGCACACACTCATCCTGCTGTACCAACACCTGTACGCACTCACCCTGCTGTACCAACCACCTGTACACACTCACCCTGCTGTACCAACACCTGTACACACTCACCCTGCTGTACCAACACTTGTACACACTCACCCTGCTGTACCAACCACCTGTACACACTCACCCTGCTGTACCAACACCTGTACACACTCACCCTGCTGTACCAACACCTGTACACACTCACCCTGCTGTAACAACACCTGCACACACTCACCCTGCTGTACCAACACCTGTACACACTCACCCTGCTGTACCAACACCTGCACACACTCACCCTGCTGTACCAACACCTGTACACACTCACCCTGCTGTACCAACACCTGTACACACTCACCCTGCTGTAACAACACCTGCACACACTCACCCTGCTGTACCAACACCTGTACACACTCACCCTGCTGTACCAACACTTGTACACACTCACCCTGCTGTAACAACACCTGCACACACTCACCCTGCTGTACCAACACCTGCACACACTCACCCTGCTGTACCAACACCTGTACACACTCACCCTGCTGTAACAACACCTGCACACACTCACCCTGCTGTACCAACACCTGTACACACTCACCCTGCTGTAACAACACCTGCACACACTCACCCTGCTGTACCAACACCTGTACACACTCACCCTGCTGTACCAACACCTGTACACACTCACCCTGCTGTACCAACACTTGTACACACTCACCCTGCTGTAACAACACCTGTACACACTCAACCTGCTGTACCAACACTTGTACACACTTACCCTGCTGTACCAACACTTGTACACACTCACCCTGCTGTACCAACACTTGTGCACACTCACCCTGCTGTACCAACACTTGTACACACTCACCCTGCTGTAACAACACCTGCACACACTCACCCTGCTGTACCAACACCTGCACACACTCACCGTGCTGTACCAACACCTGTACACACTCACCCTGCTGTAACAACACCTGCACACACTCACCCTGCTGTACCAACACCTGTACACACTCACCCTGCTGTAACAACACCTGCACACACTCACCCTGCTGTACCAACACCTGTACACACTCACCCTGCTGTACCAACACCTGTACACACTCACCCTGCTGTACCAACACTTGTACACACTCACCCTGCTGTAACAACACCTGTACACACTCACCCTGCTGTACCAACACTTGTACACACTTACCCTGCTGTACACACTCACCCTGCTGTACCAACACTTGTACACACTCACCCTGCTGTACCAACACTTGTGCACACTCACCCTGCTGTACCAACACTTGTGCACACTCACCCTGCTGTACCAACACCTGTACACACTCACCCTGCTGTAACAACACCTGCACACACTCACCCTGCTGTACCAACACCTGTACACACTCACCCTGCTGTACCAACACTTGTACACACTTACCCTGCTGTACACACTCACCCTGCTGTACCAACACTTGTGCACACTTACCCTGCTGTACCAAGACCTGTACACACTCACTCTGCTATAACAACACCTGCACACACTCATCCTGCTGTACCAACACCTGTATACACTCACCCTGCTGTACCAACACCTGTACACACTCACCCTGCTGTACCAACACTTGTACACACTCACCCTGCTGTACCAACACTTGTACACACTCACCCTGCTGTACACACTCACCCTGCTGTACCAACACTTGTACACACTCACCCTGCTGTACCAAGACCTGTACACACTCACTCTGCTATAACAACACCTGCACACACTCATCCTGCTGTACCAACACCTGTACGCACTCACCCTGCTGTACCAACCACCTGTACACACTCACCCTGCTGTACCAACACCTGTACACACTCACCCTGCTGTACCAACACTTGTACACACTCACCCTGCTGTACCAACCACCTGTACACACTCACCCTGCTGTACCAACACCTGTACACACTCACCCTGCTGTACCAAAACTTGTACACACTCACCCTGCTGTACCAACACTTGTGCACACTCACCCTGCTGTACCAACACTTGTACACACTCACCCTGCTGTACACACTCACCCTGCTGTACCAACACCTGTATACTCACCCTGCTGTAACAACACCTGTACGCACTCACCCTGTTGTACCAACCACCTGCACACACTCACCCTGCTGTACCAACACATGTACACACTCACCCTGCTGTACCAACCACCTGTACACACTCACCCTGCTGTACCAACACCTGTACACACTCACTCTGCTGTACCAACACCTGTACACACTCACCCTGCTGTACCAACACCTGTACACACTCACCCTGCTGTACCAACACCTGTACACACTCACCCTGCTGTACCAACACCTGTACACACTCACCCTGCTGTACCAACACCTGTACACACTCACCCTGCTGTACCAACCACCTGTACACACTCACCCTGCTGTACCAACACCTGTACACACTCACCCTGCTGTACCAACACCTGTACACACTCACCCTGCTGTACCAACACCTGTACACACTCACCCTGCTGTACCAACACCTGTACACACTCACCCTGCTGTACCAACACTTGTACACACTCACCCTGCTGTACCAACACCTGTACACACTCACCCTGCTGTACCAACACCTGTACACACTCACCCTGCTGTACCAACACCTGTACACACTCACCCTGCTGTACCAACACTTGTACACACTCACCCTGCTGTACCAACACCTGTACACACTCACCCTGCTGTACCAACACCTGTACACTCTCACCCTGCTGTACCAACACCTGTACACACTCACCCTGCTGTACCAACATCCGAACATAGTCGAAGGGCACCAGGAGCCAGTCCTCGTGACCGTGGGTGCTGAGAGAGAGGCATGATGACAGGAGCAGCACCGCCAATGGAAGCACCAGCAGCGCCCCCAGGATGGCCGCCCACACCTGAGGGGTCAGGGGAAGCAGGAAGCTCCACGGGTCCACCTCCGGCCGGCCTCGAGCTGCCAGGATCCTCCAGTAGTCCAACATTATTGCTACAGTAAAGTCCACCACCTCAGCTCGGTCCTCGCTCAGGATGAAGGGGCCGGAAGCTATAGCCACCTCCTGTCACCACAACAAACATTATTACATAGTTATCACGGCTAGTTGATCACTTTGTGTAATCAAATATTTTCTGAACAAATATCATCAAATATCTTGCAGTACTCATAACTTAATAAACAAAATCTGATTACAAATTTAATGAATTAAGATTAAGATGGAGCTAAACATCCAAAAAACACCTGGAGAGTTGAGTTGTGTAAATAATAATTTAAAATAAAAATTGTCTTATCTTGGTGCTAAAAGAAGCGTTTCGTTGAAAGTTTCAACATCTTCAGCAGCGAATGGGTAAGTGTATAGATGTTAGCGAAAGCTATGGCATATGTTACCAAGTAGGATGAGGTGACGTTACATGTTACCAAGTCAATACTGGCTGGGAAAGTGAGGTGTGATGTATTCTGACATGGTCTTGAGGATGTGCCTAAGTTTAGTGTATAATATGTGTACCTAAGTATGAGCTTAGTGTATAATGTGTATACCTAAGTATGAGCTTAGTGTATAATATGTGTACCTAAGTATGAGCTTAGTGTATAATATGTGCACCTAAATTATGAGCTTAGTGTATAATATGTAAGAGTTTTCATATGTCTAATCTATTGTCGTTTTATTCTACCGATCATTTTGGTGACGTTGGTCAGGATATCATTGCTAACAGTCTTCTTGTGTGCAGATATTTTGTGTTCCTTGATAGACCCTTGTTGTTTGTGCATTGTCATGCTCCTTGAATGATGTGTTTTGCCTCATATTGAGATCGATGGGGCTGACGGTCTCTAAGTGAACCTTTAAAGACATAGATGACATTCGTATCTTAAAGGGGCTTTCGCTTAGAACCAGGAGAGTAGTTCATGAACAGTTTAGAGGTCTGCTTGCTTATGTACTAAGTTGTTAACTGAAACATCTGGTTAGTATCGGTACAGGACACCTTTCTCCAAATGCTGTCTTACAGGATTCTTTCATGTGTTTTGTGAGCTTATGAAAAATAGTTCCCGTAGAAGCGTATAATAAGTGGGACAGATTCTGCAGTATTGTCCATCACATCACAGGTAACAACACGGCTCAAGGTCCTGCATTTCTCTATGTACTTCCACGTCATCTTACTTCCAACTAGAGTTGTGTGAGGCATATGCAACACTTCGCTTGTATGCAGGCGAGGAGTCACAATAATTTTCTTGGCGTTCACAGTTTCGATCAGTTTGTTGACCTTTGCTTTCAATTCGAATTGAAAGCAAAGGTCAACAAACTGATCGAAACTGTGAACGCCAAGAAATCAGGACTCCACCTGCCAAAAATTATTGGGGAATATAAATCTGGATATGCGTATGGAAATGTCAAGACACACAAGCCTGGAAACCCACTTCGGCCAATCATTAGCCAGATACCCACACCCACGTACAGACTGGCGAAGCGACTCAATGGCCTGCTGACTCCTTATGTCCCTTGCGCCTTCAGCCTGAAGTCTCCAAAGGAATTTGTTGACTTACTGCGGGGCACACGGGCCACAGGGATAAGAGCCTCGTTGGACGTAGAATCACTGTTCACCAACGTACCTGTGGACGAGACAATCGGGATGATAGCCGACAGAGTGTATCGTGATCCAACCTGTACTCCTCTTGACATACCAGAAAATATTCTAAGGAAACTACTCCAAGCTTGTACTAAAGAGGCACCCTTCTTGAGCCCGGATGGGCACATGTATAAGCAAGTAGATGGGGTCGCCATGGGTTCTCCCCTAGGTGTTCTGTTTGCAAACTTCTACATGGGTACCATCGAGCAAAAAGTCTTAGTCGACATGAACTTGAAACCGGCCATATACTGCAGGTATGTTGACGACATTTTTACACAGGTACCTGATGTCAGACATCTGCAGGAGCTGAAGGAGGCATTTGAGCAGAGTTCCGTGCTGCGTTTCACTTACGAGATGGAAAAGGATGGGAAGCTGCTCTTTCTAGATGTAACAGTCATGGAAAAGAGCGGAGGTTTCCACACTGCAGTCTACACTAAGGAAACGAACATAGGAATGTGCCTAAATGCCAACAGCGACTGCCCAGACAGGTACAAGAGGAGTGTTGTTAACGCATATGTCGACCGTGCTCTCAGCCACAGCTCAGAATGGAAGCAAGTCGACGAAGAACTCTGTAGGGTAAGGCAGGTCCTATTCAACAACGGCTTCTCCAATGGTTTCGTCGAAGACATCATAAGAGGGAAATAAACGCCATGCAACCTCTGAAGAGACAACTAACAACACCTATACCCCCTATTAGACTATTTTACAGGAACTTCTTTTCCACAGCTCATAAAACGGAGGAAAGGGTCCTGAAAGATATTGTTAATAGAAACGTTATCCCTACAGACAAAAATCAGAGGATACAACTGTCGATTTACTATAAAACCAGAAAAACGGCCAGCCTACTCATGAGAAACTCTCCAGACACAAAGCAAAACGCTTTAAAAGAGACCAACGTCGTCTATGCCTTCAAATGCCATCTTGGGGACTGTAAGCTCCAAAAAAACAGTATATAGGCAAGACAACAACATCTCTTACTAGGCGTTTAACGATGCATAAGCAACAGGGCTCCGTTAAGGAACATATAATCTCTTCCCACAACCAAACCATCGCCAGAGAAATCCTAGTAAACAACACAGAAATCATCGATAGATACAGCGATAGCAGACGGCTTGACGTTTGCGAGGCACTACACATTAAGAAGACAACACCAGCAATCAACAGCCAATTAATGCACAACTATATTCTACCCACCTCAAATCCGAGTTGCCGGCGGGGAAGTGGTTCAAATAGCTTCGGCTATCACTTCCTTTTGTCCGGCCGTGATGGTCAAGCGGATTAAGGCGCCCTGTAGTTACCAGTTGCGTTGCTCCTGGGAGTATGGGTTCGAGTCACTTCTGGGGTGTGAGTTTTCAGTCGCATATAGTCCTGGGGACCATTCAGGCTTGTTCGCATTTGTGTTCCTCACGTGTGCCCCAAAGAATGAGGTGATTTGGTGAAATGCTATGCCCAAGATTACCATCCGAGTTGCCGGCGGGGAAGTGGTTCAAATAGCTTCGGCTATCACTTCCTTTTGTCCGGCCGTGATGGTCAAGCGGATTAAGGCGCCCTGTAGTTACCAGTTGCGTTGCTCCTGGGAGTATGGGTTCGAGTCACTTCTGGGGTGTGAGTTTTCAGTCGCATATAGTCCTGGGGACCATTCAGGCTTGTTCGCATTTGTGTTCCTCACGTGTGCCCCAAAGAATGAGGTGATTTGGTGAAATGCTATGCCCAAGATTACCATCCGAGTTGCCGGCGGGGAAGTGGTTCAAATAGCTTCGGCTATCACTTCCTTTTGTCCGGCCGTGATGGTCAAGCGGATTAAGGCGCCCTGTAGTTACCAGTTGCGTTGCTCCTGGGAGTATGGGTTCGAGTCACTTCTGGGGTGTGAGTTTTCAGTCGCATATAGTCCTGGGGACCATTCAGGCTTGTTCGCATTTGTGTTCCTCACGTGTGCCCCAAAGAATGAGGTGATTTGGTGAAATGCTATGCCCAAGATTACCATCCGAGTTGCCGGCGGGGAAGTGGTTCAAATAGCTTCGGCTATCACTTCCTTTTGTCCGGCCGTGATGGTCAAGCGGATTAAGGCGCCCTGTAGTTACCAGTTGCGTTGCTCCTGGGAGTATGGGTTCGAGTCACTTCTGGGGTGTGAGTTTTCAGTCGCATATAGTCCTGGGGACCATTCAGGCTTGTTCGCATTTGTGTTCCTCACGTGTGCCCCAAAGAATGAGGTGATTTGGTGAAATGCTATGCCCAAGATTACCATCCGAGTTGCCGGCGGGGAAGTGGTTCAAATAGCTTCGGCTATCACTTCCTTTTGTCCGGCCGTGATGGTCAAGCGGATTAAGGCGCCCTGTAGTTACCAGTTGCGTTGCTCCTGGGAGTATGGGTTCGAGTCACTTCTGGGGTGTGAGTTTTCAGTCGCATATAGTCCTGGGGACCATTCAGGCTTGTTCGCATTTGTGTTCCTCACGTGTGCCCCAAAGAATGAGGTGATTTGGTGAAATGCTATGCCCAAGATTACCATCCGAGTTGCCGGCGGGGAAGTGGTTCAAATAGCTTCGGCTATCACTTCCTTTTGTCCGGCCGTGATGGTCAAGCGGATTAAGGCGCCCTGTAGTTACCAGTTGCGTTGCTCCTGGGAGTATGGGTTCGAGTCACTTCTGGGGTGTGAGTTTTCAGTCGCATATAGTCCTGGGGACCATTCAGGCTTGTTCGCATTTGTGTTCCTCACGTGTGCCCCAAAGAATGAGGTGATTTGGTGAAATGCTATGCCCAAGATTACCATCCGAGTTGCCGGCGGGGAAGTGGTTCAAATAGCTTCGGCTATCACTTCCTTTTGTCCGGCCGTGATGGTCAAGCGGATTAAGGCGCCCTGTAGTTACCAGTTGCGTTGCTCCTGGGAGTATGGGTTCGAGTCACTTCTGGGGTGTGAGTTTTCAGTCGCATATAGTCCTGGGGACCATTCAGGCTTGTTCGCATTTGTGTTCCTCACGTGTGCCCCAAAGAATGAGGTGATTTGGTGAAATGCTATGCCCAAGATTACCATCCGAGTTGCCGGCGGGGAAGTGGTTCAAATAGCTTCGGCTATCACTTCCTTTTGTCCGGCCGTGATGGTCAAGCGGATTAAGGCGCCCTGTAGTTACCAGTTGCGTTGCTCCTGGGAGTATGGGTTCGAGTCACTTCTGGGGTGTGAGTTTTCAGTCGCATATAGTCCTGGGGACCATTCAGGCTTGTTCGCATTTGTGTTCCTCACGTGTGCCCCAAAGAATGAGGTGATTTGGTGAAATGCTATGCCCAAGATTACCATCCGAGTTGCCGGCGGGGAAGTGGTTCAAATAGCTTCGGCTATCACTTCCTTTTGTCCGGCCGTGATGGTCAAGCGGATTAAGGCGCCCTGTAGTTACCAGTTGCGTTGCTCCTGGGAGTATGGGTTCGAGTCACTTCTGGGGTGTGAGTTTTCA